TATACCATGGACTGCTAAGAAAACAAACAGATTCATCCTGGAAAGGGTCAAACCGGGCGGCTCCTTAGAGGCAAAGATTTTGAGGCTTTGTCTAACGCATTTTGGACATGTTGTAAGGAGGGACCGGTTCTTGGAGAGGGACATCATGTTTGGGAGGGTGGAGGGACAGCACAGGAGGGGAAGGCCCTCCATGAGGTGGATCGATTCAGTGACTGAGGTAATCGGGATGGGTGTGTCAGAGACAGTGTGACTGGCACAGGACAGAGTAGAGTTTAGGGCTGTTGTTCATAGGGTCATTATGAGTCGCAAGCAACTCAACAGCACATAACAACAACAGTGTCCTAAAAAGATTCGCCACTTCATTCAATTGCTATTCAATTGTCATTTTGCTATTCTTTAACTAGAAAATGAAGCTAAACAGCTTATCAAATATATGAATATACAAGCCCCACCCCTATCTTCTCATACGTTCCTTACCGTTCTGACTCAGTCACAGAAAACAATGCTCAGTCCTGTGCCATCCACATAGCAACTGCTGTGTTTGAACCCGTTATTGCATCTACTGTGCTAATTTGTTGCCTTGAGGACCGTCGCCTTTTTCACTGGCCCTGTCCTTTTTGAAGGATGATGCCCTTCTCCTTGGACTAGCCTCCCCTGTTGACATGCACAAAGTATGTGAGACAATATTTTGCCCTCTCTTTTTCGAAAGAACATTCTGGCTGCACATTTTTGTTCTTTTGGCCATTAATGGTATATCCAATATTCTTCATCAACACCATAATTCAAAGGCATGAATTCTTCTTTGATCTACCTTATTTATTGTTCAACTTTTACATGACAGTGACTGAAAATACAATGGCTTGGTTAAGGGGGACCTTAGTCTTTAAACTGACATTCTTTTTAGAACTTTAAAGAGATCCTTGGCAGCAGATCTGGCCAAATCAGTATATCTCTGTCTCTCGAGTTCTGACCCATTGCTTCCATAGCTGTTAATTTTGGATCCAAGTAAAGTGAAATCATTGACAACTTCAATCTTTTAAGCATTTATCACTAAAATTTTTATTAATCCAGTTATGGGGATTTTTGTTCCTTTCAAATGTACTTTGTTTTCAGCAAGCAAGGTTATGTCATCCATATATCAAAGGTTCGTGAATCTTCCTTCAATTCTGATGATGCATTCTTTTTCCTATAGGCCAACCTGTCAGATTTGTTCAACATACAGATTAATATGGTGAAAGGACTACACTGGGAAAGTCTGCAGTTAGGGACCTCTCCAAGTTATTGAGGAGTAATGGTATCAATTTGAGGACTAAGATGCACCTGATCCAGGCCATGGTCTTCACATTCACTTGTATCTGAGAGCTGGACAATGAATAAGGATGACAGAAGAATTGATGCCTTTGAGCTGTGGTGTTGGAGAAGAGCACTGAACATCCCTTGGATGACCAAGAGAATGGCAAATATGTCTTGGAGAAGATGCAGCTGGAGTTCTCTTTGGAGGTAAGGATAATTGGAGGCTTCACCTCACATACTTTGGCCAGAACTCAGGTGAGGCTATACCTTGAAAAGGGACATAATGCTTGGAATGGTAGAAGGTCAGTGAAAGAGAGGAAGACCTTGACCAGGTGGATTGAGACGTGACTGCTGGAAGTGTGAGGATGGCGCAGGATAGGACAGGGTTCAGATCTGTTGTACATAGGGTCACGATGGGTCTCACTCGACTCGATGGCACCTAACAACAATAAGTGAAAGGATACAACATACATGTGATAAAGTTGAAATTTCTGGGTATTAATTGAGAGAGCGATATCTCCTAGGTGATTTCGACTTAGACTGTAAGAGGTTATACTGCTAAACCAAAGGCTCAAAGGCAAAAATGCATCAGTTATTATTTAAGGCTTACCCTAAAAAACAAGATGAACTCACTTCAAGATTCCTAACTTAACTAGATTGGCAAAGTTCTGTTTTCCAAATTAGGTCACATTTACATGTAAAGGGGATTAGGATTCTAGACTGACCTTTTGGTGGAACCCTAAATGACAAAGAGATTGAAGCTGTCAAATGTTTCATTTTACTTACATCCACAATCAAAATCCATGGTAACAGCAGTGATGAAACCAAACAATACACTGCACTGGGCAGATCCTCTGTAAAGGACCCCTTTAAAGTGCTAAGGAGCAAAGATGTTGGTTTGACAGCTAAGGTGTGCTTCACGCAAGCTGTGATATTTTCGATTCCTTCACATATGGGTGAAAATTGGACCA